GTGCTTGCTTGGCCGAACATGACTCCGATCTAGAATGTGACCCCAGATTTGTGAGCACGTTTTATGGCGCAGCTTCAAAAAGTGGTTAACCGTGCAGTCTCAGTCATGCGCTATAAGTTGTGAGGATCCCTCGCACCCCCTCCTCCTCTCAAATCCTAAATATTCATAAAGCAATACCAATCATTACGTAGTACAATGTGCTTCCCTAGTATTGGTGTTCTCACGTTATTGGAGTGTTCATAGTTGGCGATCGTACGCGCGATTAGGCGAGTAGGCGATTAGGCATGGAAGACTACATACGTATTGATTGGTTTGCTCCGAGCGTTGTAGGCGAGTAGGCGAGTAGGCGAGTAGGCGATTAGGCGATCGCTCAATGGGCGGAGCAACAAATCAATACGTATCCTTCCCTTATCGCCCACTCGCCTCTCGCCTAATTGACCCGCTCGCCGTTCACTTGATCGCCTACTCGCACGTACGATCATCAACAATGAACCTGCCATATCAATGATATCCCTGTACCTCAACATCGGGTGTGGTTCATTTTTACTAGAACCTTCACCGAAGATGGGCGCTAATATGACGACTGAAGCTCCGCAGGCACCGCAGATTCCACAACTTCCACGTATTTATCAGATGACGTTGGACAGCGGACCACCAGAAGTAGGTTACTTGTTAAATGTGGGCGTTTATTACAGCAGAAAGAATCTCTTATAAGTGAAGTGGATGAAGCAGTGTGGCACGCTGTCACTTCTTATTTGAAGCACAATACCGTCCCACCCTTCATAATCGGGATTAAAGGTGCTACCATTTAATCATGATGGAAGATTTTTCTCGACTAGAGTGCTTTCAGACCATCAGTTGTTCAGCACAGTGTTCTTTCTTGCCCCTGCAGTAGCTCCCTTCTCCAATAGGAATTTTAGAATTGTGTTCAAGTGCATTTAGCTAATCCCTTGGAGTCAAGCCCCGGGATAGGTGTGTGTGAAAGTGCTCAGTCATGTAGGAGAGCGGGCGAAAGTGAACAATAAAGAGAAAAAACAGGAAATACGGACCTAAAGTAACGGCCGAATTGATTTCAAAGACGGAGATTCGGAGGTAGCAGAGAAAACAGAAAAGTGCAATAGTGCATGCCATGACGACGGTGCAGAGGTGCGGTTGCAGTTGCCCCCATGAAACTATCGGCCGATAACCGGAAGCATCAATTATGTCATAGCACCTTTTCGCGCATCGCTCAAGCGGGACTTAAGCCGTTTCGGACAGAGCGAGCACCCGAAGTAAGCGTGAATTATAATGTTCTGCTGTAGTCACGTACAATGCGCGACGCACTGACGCGCTCTTTCAAAGAAGAGAAAATGCGTCGAGCAAACCCGCTATATTATAGCGCCCTTCATCTAGGAGGTGAAGGATGGCGCCGATGTCAGATTGAACTCGCGTAGTATGGGGCGGCACCCGGCCATGACCTCCCTTGGACCGCGCTCAAAGCTCACGCAGCGTTCAACCTTCCTGTGCAAGCGGCGAGAGGCAAACGCTGCGAGTAACATCGTAATTTACGCTTACTAATCTACGCGTTCGGGTGCCCACTCTGTCCACACATCTTATCTCCTCAAGCGGTGTGAATGGGATATCGGCCACCTTCGCAAACAGCTCATTATCGTTCCATAAAGATCACGTCAGTAGGCTCCGGACCTTGCCTTTATGACGTGCCTGTTTCTCCCATTCTCGGAACGAGTTTGGATAATAGGATATCCATTTACAGCACCTGGATCCACTCATGAAGACTGCGATCGAGCCTGGTGGCGACTACGAGGTTTGCCACCCACTTACAGTAAACGTAGCTCATCTGAAGAACACCACTTTAGAATCTGGGCAATTTGGAAACAGCAATCCCACCGTCACCTCCGGAAGAGAAGGCCGTGGCCGCTGAGAAAAGTGCACCACAGAAAACGAAGGCGAGCCAAGTTACTGCAGCACAAAAGACGACGGCGCCCAAAGTCAGCGCGCCGCAAAAGGCAAAAGAAACCCAAGTTAGCGCGCCGCAAAAGGCCAAAAGAAACCCAAGTTAGCGCGCCGCAGAAAACGAAGGAGTCACAAGTCAGTGTAGCACAGAAACCGAAAGAATGCCAAGTCAGCGCTCCACAGAAGGCGAAAGAACCACAAGTCAGTGCACCACAAAAGGCGAAGGTGCCTCAAGTCAGCACGCCTCAGAAAACTAAGGAGCCTAAAGTCACCGCCCCAGAAAAAGCAAAAGTGCCCCAAGTTAGCACGCCTCAAAAGGCTAAAGTTACCCAAGTCAGCACACCTCAGAAGAAGAGTGCGCCTCAAGCAAAACCCGCTACTCAGAACAAAAGCACACCCAATAAATCGACTCAGCCTCAACTCAAAGCAACAACCCCACCGCCAGCACCCACTAAATCCCCCGCGGTCACCCCATCTAAAAAGACACCATCAAACGAAGATCACTCGGTGGTGAAGACGGCGTTACTGGTTCGACCGCCCAAGGATCAGGTAGGTGGCATCCTTTGTTAGAGACTATGATCTGCAACTATCATATAATGCATTTCAGAAAGCTGTAGCAAGTCCCTGGGCCAGGAATTACGATACCTTGTTACCATTGCCGCCTTCAAGCGAAGTGTTCTCCAAAGTTGTGCCCGTAACTAATAAGACGAAATAAATGACTATTAACAATGAAACGATATTACCGTTTCCAACTAGATATTCTGCTTTGTACTACGTGAGCCATATATGAAATAAAGTCTGGGTGTGTTTTCGAGTATCGCAGCCATGATTTTATTGTTGGAGAAGTCTTGCATTTATGACAAACTTCTTAAACTGAACCATTCGACAGACTCAAATGAAGTATTAGGTTGTTGCATTATGAACGTCGTTTTAAGATGTACATAAAACTGTTCGATACGGATCACTTCGGCTTCTCAGAACGAGAGATAAAAAGGTGTTATATTATTGTGCCAGGTTTCGTCATTCCTCACGCAAAGACTCGACGTTCTTCTCGGAGAACTGTGGTAGTTGTGCGCAGGCGAAGTTAGACTCTCTCGTTTGGAGTTTTCTGTAGTCTCAGGATCGTTTCTTCTTCACAACATGCCGCTTTGACTGGGATAATTAGCGCTTAGATGGAGTGTGATAGGAGCTGTCTAGCGGAGAAGTGAAAGATTCAATAAGGTCTCACGGTTTTTGTTTGTGGTGATCCTTTACATGAGATCCAAACGCAACGTAACTTTATGTAATCATTGTTTTTGTCTCTCCCTCTCTCGCCACGGCTTTACGCGGACTTTGTTTCGTTAATAAAAGCCTGCCAGTATTGCTCAAATTGTATTCAGCTCTTCGAAATGAGGTAGAACATTCACGTGTTCAGCCGAGAATTTCGGTTGGCAATCGTGAAAAATTCATGTAAAAAAACAAAATGATATGGACAACGAATAGTCGATTTTGTGCTAATAGATTTCCCTTTCGAATAAATGCTCAAATGCATTCAAAATTCAAACGCAGCAAAGTGGGTTGAAGCTATATTGCAGCTACTTGATAGCTTCGATGAAGTTAGTCTTGGGATGTCATTCTTGGGATACGCTTCTGCTGTGAGCCAAAGGAATTAGTCGTGATAACTCTCACGGGACGAATGGGAAACTTAAACCGTGAAGTACTTTTGCATACAGGAGACCTAGCAGAACAAGTTTGTGAAGTTCAGGAATATTTTTGTAATTTGTGGAAAAATTTCCTTGTAGGTCTTCATCGACTTCACTGATATGTGCTAAGCAAAACCAGATTGTTTATTGGGTACGTGATCAAAACAGAATATAAAACTTGAATGCGTAAAGGTAGAAAAACGAAAGGATGACAGCGGAGTAGTCACCAAGTCAAAAAGGAAGGGGACTCCTGGACTGGGAATGCGCTCTTCGTCGGCGCTCAACGAAAAGTAAACGACCTCAGGGTTTGCTCCGTACTCGAAACCAATCATTTTTCGCATATCTGATTTTACCGTGTCTGGTTTTCGGTCTTGATTAGGATACCTGTAAGGTCTGCTCTTGTGACCCCTTCGGAACATCTTTCCAGCTGAGTTGCCGAGTTCTTCAGCCATGCATTGGTGGTAACATCACAAGACATGCAGTCATTCTTGTACTTTCGTATGGGTATCTCGCATTAGCCACTCCTGCCTATTTGGCAAGGAACTGCATGTTTCTGATGTCGGTTCTTAGTAGGCTTTCCCGCCAACTACCCACCAACTACAATACGTTTGCAGTGACTGTTGCGTAGAACTGTCATTTGCCAGCAACTTTTTTCAACGCTTCATCCAGTGTATTCCAATCACCCTACTTTTCCACAACTGGAAATTTTCTCGCGATCACGGACTCCATGCAAAAACAACTTTGTCGCCGTATTCACAGTACTGTGTGCACCCCGAGGTAATTTTTGGGAAATTTCATTTCTTTCCCAGTTCGCAGTCAGTGGGCCATACATCTGCTCCCAAAGGACTATGAATCCTTTGATTGTCTTTGTGGTACTGCTTTCTATTACGGCTGCTTTACATTGGGAGTGGGTCTTTCTCTCATTGCTGGTGTCTCCTCGGTGTGATCTCAAGAGGAACTTTGCGAGTGGAAAGAAAGAAGACCGACACAGCCAAGGACAATTAGCCGGCAGGAAGATCAGTGATCTATACAACCGCGGGGTAGTGAAGATATGATAGCATCGTGTGTTACAGCTAATAATCAAAGGGGTTATGTTCATTTCTCATTGTCATGCAGACTGTGAAGGTGAAGTCAGAAGATTTGCTGAAGCATCCTGTACCGAAGCGTGCGTATGAAGTTTTCACCTATTTTGAAACCTTTGGTACGCAGCATGTGTTTTGTTCAGTTAACCTGAAAGCAAAGCAAACGGAAGTGCGGAAGTTATTCTCTCTTAAAGCAGCAGATAAGAAAGAGCATGATAGCAAAGAAAGAATATGGAATAAATAGTGAGTCAATCTAATTACAAGTTGTTTCCTGCTTACAACATAGCGAATCTGCCGCTGCACAGACCTTCCGTTAAAATTCTAAGACATGCGCAAAACGATATCTATGTACGGGAGAGGTGGTTAAGGATTTGAATGTTTTTCGGTACTTATGTATGCATGAAGCAGTAACTCACGTGTCTTGAACAGTCCTGGAAGTGTGCTGTCCGACGGCGGGAAATGCTATTGCATGGTTTCTGCTCCTGTTGGGGAAAAGAAACACGTCGAAACCTGTTACATATGAGGGAGCCGGCAGGCGGTAGCAAAATCAGACAATCATGGCGGGTGTGTTGAAGGGGAGGGGAGGGACATGCAAAGTACCTGAAGATTCGTTTCATTTCTGAAGGAAATAGCGACTTCGGTAACTAACAAAATGGAAAAGGCATTGAACGATCAAAAAAAACCGAGGAAAAATCAAACATGTAGTAAATAAATAATCAAATAAGTTAAGATCGTAGCTACTGTAAAAAAAGCTTAGTTTCTCATGCAATGTTTCATTAACTGCTTGGATTCCTCTGCAGATTTATCGCTTTTGAAATACATAATTTCTTTCGTTAGCGGCAAATTTCCCACCCCTTCTTCGAACAGCAAACCCGGTTTTGGAATATAAAGAAGAAATGGAGACTTCCTCAGGAAGTACAATGCCGTGGGCTGAAGTATGCATCCTTCAGGGTGCTCTGCAAAATTGAAATTGTCGTGATTCCAGCATCAGGCCCTGGTTGGAGTGATTGATGAGGACTCATAGCAACCGTACCGGAAAGTCATGTCATCAGTGCTGACAGGTCATCCTGGAGTGACGTGCAGGATCCTCTTCCGATTTGTGAGGTCCTTTTGCATAGGCTACCGAGGGAAGCACGCGACATAATAGGTGGTCTAAATCAGGACCATGAACCTTGGATAGCTAGTCAGGAAATCTCGAGTGGTATCTGATGTGAAAATAGCACGGGAACATTCCAAACGTTCTCTCTACAAGAAAAGTGCTAGAAAACATCGGGAGATTCAAGGAGGTAAACTCTTCGAGAATCGAGAGAAATGAAGCGTATAGGTGGGACAAGAGCGGTGGCGGAGTCACATCAGGACTACACCTCTGCTGTGAACAGGGTTAGTGATCAAATTATGGTTGTGAGGATAGAAACGGAATCGGAATTGGAGAAGACCGACTGCGCGAAACACGAAAAGGAAGAGTTCGATCTGAGCTTTGAGGAAGCCATCGTCCATTCTGAAAGGCTATCCTCATTCTATATCGGTGATCTGAGCGGCCACGTCGACTTTGATAGAACAGAACTGCAAAAATACAACGATTCAGGGAGGAATAGGTGCGAGAATTGCCGGGAAGAGGAAAGGCTTTTCATCCGCCTACGGCTCACCTCCAAGCAGTCTGTGCGACGTTCTTCACTATGACGGTGAAAGCAACCTGCAGTAGTGGAGGGAGACAAGCAGACCACTGCTCATAAGAAGATCGACCTTAAGATCGTATGAAGGAGATCATGAAATGCCAAAAGGGTGATGGTTCTCCAGTTCAGTTGCAAATGGCAGACATTGCCTCTGGATTTCTCCAAGAAATTTTCGGGATTCATTTCCGAAAGGTTTAGCACAAATGATAACGAGGATTCTCTGAGCTCAGCGTAAACTCTGGAACAGCCCAGTCTGAACGTACAAAAACATCATTTATAAAAAAATTAGCCAATCGGGCGATTTCAAGCTTTGCAGAGTTGCCCAATCATTCGATAATTTTGAGATATGGTAAAATGACTTTAATGAAAGAGACTTTGATAAGTAAATGAATGATCAATTTGGAGATACTAAAGTGAAGAGCAACAGGTGACAAATGTGTTGCAGTTTCATTAGGCCGCGTTCATAGTTCGCGACTCGGGAGATTAGGATAGTAGGCGACAGGATATTAGGATAGTAGTAGAGTAGGAGATTGCGCTGACAAGATTGGATACGTATCGATTGAAATCGCTGGAGAGTAGTAGATTGGGCGACTTCAAGCGAATAGATCAATACATATCTAATCTTGTCAGCGCACTATCCTAATCTACTACTATCCTAATCTCCTACTCTACTACTATCCTACTATCGTAATATCGCAATCTACTACTCTCCAGCGATTTCAATCGATACGTATCTAATCTTGTCAGCGCAATCTCCTACTCTACTACTATCCTAATCTACTACTATCTCCCGTCAATACATATGTTTTTCATTGTCGCGTACTATCCTAATCTCCGGAGTCGCGAACTATGAACGCGGCCTTAGCGATGCTCTATAATAGGTTAGCAAAGAGAGCCTTCACGATCTCCAACAGGCTGAAACTTTAGTTCCTAGTCGAAGCCAAGAAGATGACAATCGTATATAGAGATCCCATCTACCCAGAAAAGACGAACCTCCTTCGACCTTTTATGACGCACAAGTCCCTGAACCAATTTGATGAAAATGTTCAGTCTAGGGCTGAGCTCAAGAGAGATTGTTAAGAATGAGAGAGATTCGGGCAGCATTTGAGCTAGTGAATGCAGATCGAGGAGCTTTACGCTTTGTGGGATTTCTCTTTCGGCCTCATTTGTCTCCTTTGTGGAATAAGCAATTATTGGGTGTTTTTGAGAGTGATAAATTCACTCGTACAAAAAGATTGAAGCATAGTCGTAGTAGTCGTAGACTCTGTGTATCCTTTC